GAGTGCAAAAAAATTATAATTGTCAACGCCAGGGTCAACACAGGACAAAAGGCTGTAGTGATTCACTACAGGACCAAAGGCTATAGCCACTCACTACATGACCAAAGGCTGTAGTCACTGACTACAGGATCAAAGGCTGTAGTCACTGACTACAGGACCAAAGGCTGTAGTCACTGACTACAGGATCAAAGGATGTAGTCACTGACTACAGGATGAAAGGCTGTAGTCACTCACTACAGGACCAAAGGATGTAGTCACTCACTACAGGATGAAAGGCTGTAGTCACTCACTACAGGACCAAAGGCTGTAATCACTCACTGCATGATCAAAGAGCATTTTGAAGCAGTTTCAGTCTGGCTTGAGGAGAACGATTGTTAGATACATATATTTCCTGTTTGCCACCAGACATGTGAGTCATAAATGTGTAATCTCCGGACACAGATTCCTCTGGGCGACATGTTTCGACATCAGGGTTCTGACAAAACACAAGCAATGAGTAGATTACAACTGATTCCAGTAGATTCGCGGTGACTAATAATCATTCTTACAATAAGGGTTTATTAAAACTGACACCAAGGCCGTTCTGCTGTGTCATACAGTGGGTATCAGGATCTGATCTGGGAGACTGACCATTGGCTCAGTAAGGAGACCTGGGTTGCGCCGCGCTATAGTTAACGCTGTACCAGCGGCAGGTAATTAATCGAGTCTCTAGACAAACCAATGATGGGCATCATGAACACTGCTCCCAGCATTTGAGAAACGACGGTATTCAGTCATCCAATTCCCCTAGCCTGACCTCACTGTTCTGTAAGTCAGCTCTTACAACAAGCACAGGTTCCTCGGGACATACTCTAATACAAAATGTTTGCAAATATCCTGATTCCTGTCAGTGAGTATTTTATAATAATGAGCCACTCCCTTATCAGCCGTAATGTGGTTAATGAATGCTCCCCGCGCTCGTGCGTTATACAAGATGTCAGGCACCGGCTCATTACACCTGTATCATGTACAACTAGTAGTAATGTTGCCAGTACAGAAGCCCTCTTATGTTATGACAACGCCAATGGATGCTTTCCGTATTCAAGCTAACGACAACATCGACATTGTAGTTGGTAACCTCACTGACATTCTTCAAAGCACTGCTACGTTGTGTGGTTTGGAAAGGAGACCTTAGTGTGATAAATCTCGTAACACTACTGTATGGTACGACAGAGAATGTGAAATCCTGAAATCACAGAAATTCAAATTATTAGACCATTTTAGACTAACTGGAAGCAAAGTATCATTAAAGGAATATGTTCATGCAAGAAATAATTACAGATATTTATGCAGACAGAAGAAGAGAAAATACGAAGAGTTCCAAATTCACAATCTAATGGACAGTTCCAAGGACAGCAAAGTATTCTGGAAAAATCTAAATAAGATGACAAGCAACAAGAAAAGCACACCACAAATAAACCAGGAACAGTGGAGTGATTATTTTAAAGACACTTTTAACTTCACAGATAATACAGTGGGTGAATCAAAACTAGAAGAAGCTGATCATGCATTGGACAACCACTGTGAATCTACAAGCGATGTGTGTAGAGATAATTATGTTATGTATCTATTGAACCGAAACTTATCGCCCCAAGAAGTTGAAGTAGCCATTAAAGACATGAAATCAGGTAAAGCAGCGGGTCCGGACGGTATCAAAGCAGAGATGGTGAAATCATGTGCTGATCTTTTAAGTCCGTATCTAGTAACTGTATATAATACCATCCTAACTAATGAAGAATATCCTACTGAATTGGCCAAGGGATTAATCGTACCACTCCACAAGAAAGGCGACATTAACTCGGTCAACAATTATAGAGGTATCTCACTCATGGACACTTTCGGAAAGATATTTTGCTCTATCCTAAACAACCGTCTACAAACATTTGCAGCACTTTATGACAAGATTCCAGAAGCTCAAGCAGGATTTAGGAACAACTACAACACAACTGATAATATTTTTACGTTACAATGTTTAATCCAGAAATACCTATCAAGGCGAGGTGGCAGATTCTATTGTTTATTTGTAGATTTTAAGAAAGCCTTTTATTCTATCAATAGAAAACTTCTCTGGTATTCACTATTAAAGAATGATATTCATGGACGAATTCTTAATGTGCTATAAAGAATATGTACTCGAAAATAATGTCTGCTGTCCGAATAACCAACACCTCAATCTCTGAATACTTTGACTGTCTTAGCTGAGTTAGACAAGGATGTGTCTTGAGCCCCTTTTTGTTCACGATGTTTATATCAGATTTACAGGTGATGCTAGAAAACGCGGAAATTAGAGGAATATTTGTTGGATCTGAATTTTTAGAAATATTACTTTTGCTTTATGCTGACGATTTATGTATTTTCGATGACTCTGTTATTGGACTACAAAGAAAAATTGACATTCTAAACGACTACTGTACAACGTGGGGATTACAAGTTAACATGGATAAAACAGAGATATTGGTTTTTCGAAACGGAGCAAGATTACGTCACTATGAACAATGGTTCTTCTAGGAGCACAGTTAAAAACCTCTACATACTACAAAAATCTTGGAATTCTCTTCTCTACACGTCTGTCATGGACTAAATGTACAGAGACACTATCAACCAAAGCAAACAAGGCATTATTTTCTATAAAGAAGTTAATCTACATGTATCCAAATATTCCAGTTAATATTCTTTCTAAGCTCTTTGATACCAAAGTGAAGCCAATTTTACTTTATGGTGCAGAAATGTGGGGTTATCAAGAACGACAGTTAATTAACAAATTTCATACAAATTTCTGTAAATATGTTCTTAGCGTAGGTAAACATGTTTCTAGCAATGCTATATTAGCAGATTGTGGTAGATATTGTATAAGTGTTGATTATTATGTTAAATGTATACATTACTGGTGTATATTACTTCATATGTCTGAAGACAGGTATCCTAAACAATGCTATATTTTGATGAAAAATCTCGACGCAGCTGGTAGATATACTTGGGCATCATATGTAAAATGTTTGTTAAACATCAACGGGTTTGGATTTGTGTGGTTTAGTCATGGTGTTGGCAATATTAATCATTTTATATCCATGTTCAAACAGAGGCTTATTGATGTAAAGGGGCAAAGCATATTGAGTAGAATTAATGGATCATCGCTACAAGGCCATTAAATCTTTATTAGATGCAGAGTTTTATGTCTCAAATGTACATTTTAAAGAATATAGACGATATTTATGCTTACTTAGACTTCATCACCTACCCCTTCTTTGTAATGTAAGACGAAAAGATGATAGTTATGCCTCAACAATATGTTAAATGTGTAACAGTAATGTCCCAGAGGATGAATTACATTTTTTTTTGTCTGTGATGCATATGTAATGTTACGTAGTATATATTTACCAAATTTTGATCAATGTCCAACTATCATTAAGTTTAAAAAATTAATGCTATGTAATAATACTAGTATTCTTCTTAAAACTGTGCAGTTTATTAAGCATGCCCTCGTGATCAGATCAAATGTGTGTAAATAATGTGTAACATTGTATATTGCCTTGTCTAAAATGATATTTTGTATCCTATGATTGCCTACTTACAGAAAATATATTCATTCACTCCCCGCGCCTGTATCATGTACAACTAATAGTAATGTTGCCAGTACAGAAGCCCTCTTATGTTATGACAACGCCAACATGTGTTTTGGTCTATATTTAATTACATGTTACATTCACATGCACTTTAAGTCGGTAACATACATCACATTGTAACTCCCAGTATTGCAGATACATGTACATTTACACGACATGCTCAACATGAGACGGCAAGAAGAGAAGGCACAAAGAGTGGTAGGTGCCAAGGGGCGGAGTGCCAGGAGAAGAGGTACCAAGAGGAAGAGGTGCCATGAGAAGGAGGTGCCAAGAGGAGGAGGCGCCAAGAGTGGTAGGTGCCAAGAGGAGGAGCTACCCAGAGGAAGAGCTGCCAAGAGGAGGAGGTGTCACGAGGGGGTGGGGTGCCAAGAGGATGAGGTGGCAAGATAAACAGGTGCCAAGAGGAGGAGGTGCCGAGAGGAGTAGTTACCAAGAGTAGATGTCAAAAGAATGTGGCGCCAAGAGGAGGGGATGCCAAGAGGAAGAGGTGCCAAGAGGGGAGGTGCCGAGAGGCTTAGATGCCCATAGGGGAGGTGCCAAGAGGAGGAGGTGCCAAGAGGCGTAGATGCCAAAGGAAAGAGGTGCCGAGGGGGGAGGTGCCAAGAGGGGAGGTGGTGCCAACAGGGGGAATTCCCGAGCGGACGGCGTGCAAAGAGGGAAAGGTGCCAAGAGGAAGAGGTGCCAAGAAGGAGAGGTTCCAAGAGGTTTTATTGGTACCCGTGATGTATTGTTGTTAAGTGAACGACCACATTATCTCTTAAAACCAGTGAAAAGACTTATTTCAACTTCACCCCAAACCCCAAGAATATCAAAGGGACTGAAATCAACCTTAAGAGAAATATTTAATTAAGAGCTTTAAACAAACCCAAGACAAATTATGTTTCCTTTCACTAACTGCTCCTTATTCACGTGAATTGTTGTTAGCGAATAGTCAGTTCGTTTATGACATACATATGGGATAGGCTTGTAGGTTTGACTTGATCATCTTGCTTACGACCAATCCCACCCCCATACGATGTCCCAATATACGGCTATCTCCCCCCGCCACATGCCCCCCACACCTGTTCCCTCCTCCTACCTTCCGCTACCTGCCAACAAAGAGAAAAATATTCATAAGCAAGATTTTCCCAAGCCTAATCACCACCTAAAGCCAAACTAGGAGTTACAGTAAAGTGAGCATAGAGATATATAGACGGGTGCCTCCAGATTTAGAATCAGATAGCATCTCAGTAGAAACATGTTGAAATATGACTGCAGGGTGCCCGATCCCTCTTCGATAAGTATCAGGACATATTCACTTGGCATAAAAGAAAGCCGTCTTATGTTGAATCTCACTGAGTAGGTAACGTCGTGCGGTGGCAGGTGCTTGCAGTGACGAAACGGTTGGTGAGGAATTAACGGTTTACTTGTACTGGAGTCTGACACAACTGTATCTTGACAAGGTGAGCACGTGTTTGGATCTTACTTACTAGTTCTTACAAGTCCAGGGTTAGAACTGGTTCCTAGCATTCTTATTTTCTTAAAGACGACCTGACTGGCTAACAGTATGCCAGCGTTCCCGAGGCAACCTATGGCGATTGTTAGAGACGTCCTACTGGGTGGAGATGACAGTTTGGTTGATTTGGTTGACAGAGTGTCATCCTGCGAACAGTACGAATATCGCTCGCCTGGTCCGTTGTTCATTGTTTGGATGATTACAGATGGTCGTCATTTCGCTTAGATAGTTCATTATGTTGAATGATCGTTATTCATTGTACCAGTCAGAGCAACACTGGCATAATCAACGGATTCTGCAGTTATCAACACGTTGTCAACATTTCCAAACCTATACTTCTTGTTGGCATGTGTTCATGCTTGGCAGCCAGTATACCTAGGTGGCTCTTCTGAGGATGTTTAAGGGTGGTGGGGTAGCCTTGTGAATAAGGCCCGAGTTCAAGTTCCCGCATGGATACGTAGTGCCCAATCCTGGTGTCCCCCGCCGTGATATTGCTGGAATATTGCACTCACTCACTCTGAGTATATATGTTGCTAATGTATATGTTTCAGTAACACCAGAAATGGACTTCACGAGTCTTTTCGTACTGCTGGTGCTGATGCCGGTGATGACTGATGCAGGTGCGTGGAGTATTACTTGATATTACTGTACGACAATTGATACAAAAGTCTCTTGTAACAATCCATGTCGATGACTGATGCAGGTGCGTGGAGTGTTACTTGATATTACTGTACGACAATTGATACATAAATCTCTTGTAACAATCCATGTCGATGACTGATGCAGGTGCGTGGAGTATTATTTGATATTACTGTACGACAATCGATACAAAAGTCTCTTGTAACAATCCATGTCGATGACTGATGCAGGTGCGTGGAGTATTATGTGATATTACTATACGACAATTGATACATAAATCTCTTGTAACAATCCATGTCGATGACTGATGCAGGTGCGTGGAGTATTACTTGATATTACTGTACGACAATTGATACATAAATCTCTTGTAACAATCCATGTCGATGACTGATGCAGGTGCGTGGAGTGTTACTTGATATTACTGTACGACAATTGATACATAAATCTCTTGTAACAATCCATGTCGATGACTGATGCAGGTGCGTGGAGTATTACTTGATATTACTGTACGACAATTGATACATAAATCTCTTGTAACAATCCATGTCGATGACTGATGCAGGTGCGTGGAGTATTACTTGATATTACTGTACGACAATTGATACATAAATCTCTTGTAACAATCCATGTCGATGACTGATGCAGGTGCGTGGAGTGTTACTTGATATTACTGTACGACAATTGATACATAAATCTCTTGTAACAATCCATGTCGATGACTGATGCAGGTGCGTGGAGTGTTACTTGATATTACTGTACGACAATTGATACATAAATCTCTTGTAACAATCCATGTCGATGACTGATGCAGGTGCGTGGACTGTTACTTGATATTACTGTACGACAATTGATACATAAATCTCTTGTAACAATCCATGTCGATGACTGATGCAGGTGCGTGGAGTGTTACTTGATATTACTGTACGACAATTGATACATAAATCTCTTGTAACAATCCATGTCGATGACTGATGCAGGTGCGTGGAGTGTTACTTGATATTACTGTACGACAATTGATACATAAATCTCTTGTAACAATCCATGTCGATGACTGATGCAGGTGCGTGGAGTATTATTTGATATTACTGTACGACAATTGATACATAAATCTCTTGTAACAATCCATGTCGATGACTGAGAGTCACCCATCAAGATGTTCATTACCTGTAATGCTGGCAAAGGCGGATCCAGGAATTTTCAAAAGGAGGGGTACGAAATCCTAAACCGCCACCCCTCCCCTTGGCTTCGCCAATGTTAAACATTAACTTCCAAGTGGTATTTAGTCGTTTTGAAAAGAGAGACTTCTGTACAGACCACTAGTGGTACATGTTATGTATTATCTCATCACTGCTGACAGCAAGCGTGTATATGAAGTATTCGGGAAACGTTTACTCCTACTCTGTGTGCTATACGTCCAGACTACCGATATACCATAAAACGTATGCAAGGGAACTCCTAATGGAAGTGTGAGTCATTAGGTGTCAGCCACCCGGTGTCCGTACATACCATGCAAGGGAGCTCCTAATAGAAGTGCGAGTCATTAGGTCTCCGACACCCGGTGTCCGTACATACCATGCAAGGGAACACCTAATAGAAGTGCAAGTCATTAGGTGTCCGACACCCGGTGTCCGTACATACCATGCAAGGGAGCTCCTAATAGAAGTGTGAGTCCTTAGACGTCGACACCTGCTGTCCGTAATTGCCTAGAAACCATTGTTTCTGTATTTTGTCGTTTTTGACGCAATTAAACAATTGAACGTGACGTCAACGACGAGGGTTGTCACACCTGCTTACCGCGTTTTACTGCACACAAAAAAACATGAATAAAATGGCTAATAAAGAAATTATTACACGAGCAAGTGTGTCATATGATTTATACGAAACTCGTGCAAAATTATGCATTGGCCTCGCTCGGGCAATACTCGTTCCACAGTCGTATGTCACACTTGCTCGTGTAATAATCTCCATCTACTTAATACTTGATAGCGTTGCTATTCATTTTGATGCGGTTGGGTAGGCTAGTGGTTACAGCGTCCGCTCGTCACGCTGAAGATCATTGTTCGACTCCACACATGGGTACACTGTGTGAAGCCTATTTCTGGTGTCCCCTGGCGTGTTATTTCTGGCATATTGCTAAAAGCACCGAAAACAAAACATATTCACTCACTCATATTCCTCGAATATTGTTAATAGCGGCGTAAAACCATACTCACTTACTGCTATTCTCTATTCTATTTATCCGTCGGATGTAGGTTCCCAAGATAAAATCAGCCTGTTTTCGGACTCTATATTTATGCACTTGAATATTTGTATTTCAGCTTGTATTACAAGTTGCGCCGGCAAGTCGACAACTGATGGCATGCGCTACCCCGACTGTGATGACTGCAAGTACTACATCAGATGTGAGCCATCTGGACTACAGCGGAGAGTCTGTCCATCATCGCTGGTTTTTAACTCTGCTGCAAATAATTGCGATTTGATAAGCAATTCAGTGTGCGGGTAAGAGCTGAGGGAGTGAGGGATTTATCCAATGCAATAGTATGTCAGACTAGTCTATAGAATACCACTAATTTCGATGCGAACACTGACGATAGTTCCATGATGGCACTCAATGTTATTATAAAGATGAGAAAATGAACGCATTTCACAAATGATGGATTAGTGTCCTATCCTGATGGAACAGTGTCCTGGTCTAACGGTGTCCTGATAGAGAGGTGTCCCGATGGAGCAGTGTCCTGATGAAACAATCTTCTGATAGATAAGTGTCTTGATAGAACAGTTAAATGATGAAACAGTGTCCTGATAGAGCAGTGCCCTGATGGAACAATGTCCTGGTAGAGCAGTGTCCTGGTAAAGTAGTGTCCTGGTAGAGCAGTGTCCTGGTAGAGCAGTGTACTGGTTGAGTAGTGATGGTAGAGTAGTGTCCTGGTAGAGTAGTGTCCTGGTAGAGTAGTGTCCTGAAGCAGTGTCCTGGTAGAGCAGTGTCCTGGTAGAGCAGTGTCCTGGTAGAGTAGTGTCCTGGTAGAGTAGTGTCCTGTCCTGGTAGAGTAGTGTCCTGGTAGAGTAGTGTCCTGGTAGAGCAGTGTCCTGATAGAGCATTGTCCTGGTAGAGCAGTGTCCTGGTAGAGTAGTGTCCTTGAGCAGTGTCCTGTTAGTGTAGTGTCCTGGTAGAGTAGTGTCCTGGTAGAATAATGTCCAGGAGCAGTGTCCTGGTAGAGCAGTGTCCTGGTAGAGCAGTGTCCTGGTAGAGCAGTGTCCTGGTAGAGTAGTGTCCTGGTAGAGCAGTGTCCTGGTAGAGTACTGTCCTGGAGCAGCGTCCTGGTACTGTCCTGGAGTAGTGTCCTGGTACAGTAGTGTCCTGGTACAGTAGTGTCCTGGAGCAGTGTCCTGGTAGAATAGTGTCTTGGTAGAGCAGTGTTCCGGTAGAGTAGTGTCCTGGTAGAGCAGTGTCCTGGTAGAGTAGTGTCCTGGAAAAGTAGTGTCCTTGCACTTCCTTACATATATTACTCATTTGCCTTGCAGTACAACGTCAGCGACTACATCTGCAACAACGACCTCACAAACAACATCTGCAACTACGACTTCACAAACAACATCTGCAACTACGACTTCACAAACAACATCTCAAACTACGACTTCACCAACAACATCTGCAACTACGACATCACCGACGACAACATCCCTGACCACTCCTGCAGGTAAACAAATCATGTCAGACACGATCAGCACACGCCGTCGTTCAACCTGGCGACAGACAGGCACCTGTTATTGACGCTCCTAATGGCGACAGATAGGCACCTGTTTATGAAGCTCCTAATGACGACAGACCGGCACCTGTTATAGATGCTCCTAATGGCGACAGACAGGCACCTGTTACAGACGCTCCTAATTGTCACAGAAAGACACCTGTTATAGACGCTCCTAATGGCGACAGGCAGGCACCTGTTATTTACGCTCCTAATGGCGGCAGACAGGCACCTGTTATTGACGCTCCTAATGGCGACAGACAGGCACCTGTTATAGACGCTCCTAATGACGACAGACAGGCACCTATTATTTACGCTCCTAATGGCGACTGACAGGCACCTGTAATTGACGCTCCTAATGACGACAGACAGGCACCTGTTATAGACGCTCCTAGTGGCGGCAGACAGGCACCTGTCATTGACGCTCCTAATGGCGACAGACAGGCACCTGTTATTGACGCTCCTAATGGCGACAGAAAGACACCTGTTATAGATGCTCCTAATGGCGACAGACAGGCACCTGTTATTGACGCTCCTAATGGCGACAGACAGGCACCTGTTATTGACGCTCCTAATGGCGACAGACAGGCACCTGTTATTGACGCAGGCATCCTAATGGCGGCAGACAGGCACCTGTTATTGACGCTCCTAATGACGACAGACAGGCACCTGTTATTGACGCTCCTAATGGCGACAGACAGGCACATGTTATTTACGCTCCTAATGGCGACAGACAGGCACCTGTTATTGACGCTCCTAATGGCGACAGACAGGCACATGTTATTTACGCTCCTAATGGCGACAGACAGGCACCTGTTATTGACGCTCCTTATGGTCCTTGTTTTGTCTTCAAATCAAAATGTAAATCTGAGAATATTCCTGTGTCACATGCTTTACTGTTAATTTCTGCAATGTCGCTACCCGTCAAGATCTGGGTGAGAATTGTTTTCAGCAACCCATGCTTGTCCTAAGAGGCGACTAACGGGACAAGCTGGTCAGACTCGCTGACTGGGTTGACACATGTCATCGCTTTCCAATTCCGTAGATCGATGCTCATGCTGTTGATCACTGGATTGTCGGGTCAGGACGCTATTATTTACAGACCGCTTCGATTTAAAATGTTCTTATGTAATCAGAGAAGATCATTTCATGTTGAATAATTGCCTCGCACATGCTGAATGATTGACACGTACATGTTGGATGATCGACACGTACATGTTGGATGATCGACACGTACATGTTGGATGATTGACAAGTACATGTTGGATGATTGACAAGTACATGTTAGTTGATTGACAAGTACATGTTGGATGATCGACACGTACATGTTGGATGATCGACACGTACATGTTGGATGATCGACACGTACATGTTGGATGATCGACACGTACATGTTGGATGATCGACACGTACATGTTGGATGATCGACACGTGCATGTTGGATGATCGACACGTACATGTTGGATGATCGACACGTACATGTTGGATGATCGACACGTGCATGTTGCATGATCAAATACAACACTCCCTTTTTTCAAATTAGTCGGTTTCATCTGAATGATTACCAATCCTGCCTTGTGTCGGTATGTTGTGAAGTAGATTCATGCATGTCACTCAGCAAGATTACCATGAGCGCCGTCTCATATTGGATGATAATGATAGAGTCCTGACAGGACATAGTGACAGTGACTGAGGAGTTGCCTCCCTTTAAGGGATGTTACCAGAACGTCTTACCTGATGTTTCAATGCCCGGCGCCGTCATACCAGGAGACGTTAAACAAGTTACATGTTGTTTCCTTGGCATACATGTTTGCCCTCAGAAGGGCACATACGCAATCACGTGCAAGCGCACACGACCGGAAGTACATGCACGTAAGTGCTCTAACATTAAAGGCACTTTGTCCTCATATTGTTAATTGAATATACTGAATTCCGCTGTGGAGAACCACGTGTCAGCAATGTCTTCATTACTTAATAGGCAGTTCTGTCATGTTCTGCTAACACATCCCTCTAGCGCGTGTTGTTGTGTTGCAGAGGGGACGTGTGTATCCTCCTGTCTGGGTATCCCCGTGTCCAGTGAACGCTACCCACACTGCACTGACTGCACCTTGTATGTGCAGTGTCTGTCGGGGGGCATGGTCGTCACCGCATGTCCTTCCGGCCTCCATCACAACGACGCCAACGACGAGTGTGATCTATCAAGTAACTCCGGCTGCACGTAAGTAACGTTCGTCATTCGTATGAAGGCGTCAGTAAGTGCACGTGTGCGTGTGCATGTGGGTGTGAAAGAGCTCCTGTATATGTGCGTTAGTACTTGAGTGCCGTAGGCGTTATTCCTTTCTCCGATATTCCAATATTCCAGTGTTAGAATGACTCCGACACATTTGGGCAGTATTCCTTTTCATATGATAGCATCGTCAGTATGTGACGCTTTTGCCGGCCTCTAGATAGTGCAGCATACGCCCCAACATACGCCCCAACATACGGCCCCTACACGTGCAGGCTAACAATTACCAACAACTGAGGGCTCGGTGTCATGTCTCACCAGGCTGTTGTGCATGGAGGGAGTGAGTGAGTATGGTTTTACGCCGCTTTTAGCAATATTCCAGCACTATCACGGAGGTGGACACAAGAAATCGACTTCACACATTGTCCTCATGTGGGAATCGAACCCGGGTCTTCGGCGTGGCGAGCGGGCGAAGCACTAGGCTACCCCAGCGCCCCGTTGTGCATGGAGCAGACACACAGTAGTACAAGATGTACTGGTATTGGTTGTCGGAGGCGTACCGCCTGTCACTGCCTGCAACAGTCAAATATGTTAACCTCATGAAACTCGTGTTAACTGCAAACCCAGGACACCCTGGATGTTATACTAACGTCGTCTGAGTATATATTAAGCATCACATTATTATTGTAATGATGTCGCTGAAATATCAGCATTGTGACCTTCAGGGAGTAAATGGGCGCAGCGGCGTAGGCTGATTGTTAAAGCATTAACTCGTCACGAAGACCCGGGTTTGATGCCCCAATGGTACAATGTGTGAAGTCGATTGCTTGTGCCCACTTCCGTGATATTGTTGGAATATTGCTCATGGCGTCGTAAAACTAAAACCGATCACTAACTCATTTAGAGGCTTGCCTTGTCGTGGCCTGTCGAAAAGAAGACGTCACATATGCCCACCTATGTGTGTAGGGGACGGACGTCACATATGCCCCCCTATGTGTGTAGGGGACGGACGTTACATATGCCCCCCTATGTGTGTACAGGACGGACGTCACATGTGTCTCCCTGGGCGTAGAGGACGGACGTCACATGTGTCTCCCTGGGTGTAGAGGACGGACGTCACATGTGTATCCCTGTGTGTAGAGGACGGACGTCACATGTGTATCCCTGTGTGTAGCGGACGGACGTCACATGTGTCTCCCTGGGTGTAGAGGACGGACGTCACATGTGTCTTTCTGGGTGTAGAGGACGGACGTCACATGTGTCTCCCTGGGCGTAGAGGACGGACGTCACATGTGTCTCCCTGGGGGTAGAGGACGGACGTCACATGTGTCTCCCTGGGCGTAGAGGACGGACGTCACATGTGTCTCCCTGGGTGTAGAGGACAAACGTCACATGTGTCTCCCTGTGTGTAGGGGACGGACGCCATATGTGTCTCCATGTGTGTGTACAGGACAGACGCCACATGTGTCTCCCTGTGTGTGTAGGGCACGGACGCCACATGTGTCCCGCTGTGTGGGTAGGGAACGGAGTACTGTCATGTTAAATATGTGTTAGATGACCCTGAGTAATGGGGAAGCATTTGAACGGTGCTCGTTTCTACACGCATTGAAATACTGGTGAGGAACGAAGGATTTCTCGGTCGATGGGAATTGGTAACAACGAGGCTTGGTTATGGAGGTTTATTTAATTGTTGTGAAAAATATCTGAGTTTCATGGAAATGTTTCATATTCTAGATATTCGTCGCCAACTACATCAGCAACTACGTCAGCAACTACGTCAGCAACTACGACATCACTTACCACGTCAGCTACGACGACCTCGCACACGACCAACCGTAAGTGCAGCATTACTTCTAGTATTCAGACCTCTTCATATACAAATGTACAGCTATTTGGGCCGGTAGTCGGGTTGTAACTTAATTTCGTTACTTCGATTTGCAAACTCCTCCAACCTAAATTCTGAAATGGTACTTGATTACATACTCAACAAACAGACACACTCTGGGGTCGCTCTCACTCCCAGACCATAGACCTGGCTTCCTATAACTGATGCCTCTGTACGACATTAAAACAAATGATTGGATACATAGAGAATCTCACCCAAGTGTCTACTGATATCAACTGTCTACTGTCATTACACTTGTAGTACAGCGCTGTCATAGCATTGTGATGTCATCAGGTCTTTAACGTCATAGCATTGTGATGTCATCAGGTTTTTAACGTCATAGCATTGTGATGTCATCAGGTTTTTAACGTCATAGCATTGTGATGTCATCAGGTTTTTAACGTCATAGCATTGTGATGTCATCAGGTTTTTAACGTCATAGCATTGTGATGTCATCAGGTCTTTAACGTCATAGCATTGTGAATTATGCAAGTGATGATGCCAAAGCATTGGGATCTCATGAAATTGATGACGTCATGGCATCTACTGTAAAAACTATATCCGCCCAGGTTGGATGAAGGCATCACAGGCCTTGGTGGTTCACAAGCATTAGTGGTTCACAGGCCTTGGTGGTTCACAGGCATTAGTGGTTCACAGGCCTTGGTGGTTCATTGGCCTTGGTGGTTCACAGAAAAGTAACCTCTCATAATTTCAATTGTTCACAATGTTTTCGGAAAAACCTGACCCCGTTGATCAGAGTTATACCACGATATATATGTTATTATAGCATACAACTTTATGTTGGATAACAACTTATGCCTGGAGCGACGTTTCGATGTAGATTCTGTTATCAAGCTTAGAGTTGTTATCCATAACGAGTTGTTATCAATAAAGTTGTGTGCTTTATTATTGACTCACCAACTTCTAGATGTCGATAAAATAATTAGAAATATATGATGTCGGGTTGAGCCTGCAGTGTGTGTTAATGTGTGTGGTTGTACCTCCAGCCCCCAATGTGTGCCTCTCCAGCTGCAACAACGTGGCCGTCAGCAACGAGCGTTACCCGTACTGCGGGTCCTGCACCCATTACGTCCAGTGTCTCAACAGCGGCATGAACGTCGTGAAATGTCCTGGGAACCTGTGGCACAACGACGCCATCGACGACTGTGATGTTCCCAGTACAACGACCTGCTAGTATGTCTCATTGAAACTTCTCTTCACCAACGACGGCCGACGGCTAGTGGGAGATCTCCTTCGACACCTGCCTACCTACCTACCTCGACACCTGACTACCTACCTCGATACCTGCCTACCTACCTCGACACCTGACTACCTACCTCCCTCGATACCCGCCTACCTACCTCCTTCGACACCTGCCTACCCACCTCCCTCGATACCTGCCTGCTAATTACTCTCGATACCTGAGTACCTACCTCCTTCAATACCTGCCTACCCACCTCCCTCGATACCTGCCTACCTACCTCCACACCTGCCTACCTACCTCCCTCGACACCTGCCTACCCACCTCCCTCGATACCTGCCTACCTACCTCAATACCTGCCTACCTACCTCCCTCGGTACCTGCCTACCCACCTCCCTCGATACCTGCCTACCTACCTCCCTCGATACCTGCCTACCTCCCTCGATACCTGCCTACCTACCTCCCTCGATACCTGCCTACCACCTCCCTCGATACCTGCCTGCTAATTACTCTCGATACCTGAGTACCTACCTCATTCAATACCTGCCTACCCACCTCCCTCGATACCTGCCTACCTACCTCCACACCTGCCTACCTACCTCCCTCGATACCTGCCTACCCACCTCCCTCGATACCTGCCTATCTACCTCAATACCTGCCTACCTACCTCCCTCGGTACCTGCCTACCCACCTCCCTCGATACCTGCCTACCTACCTCCCTCGATACCTGCCTACACACCTCCCTCGCTACCTCCCTCGATACCTGCCTATCTACCTCCCTCGATACCTGTCTACCCACCTCCCTCGATACCTGCCTACCTACCTCCCTCGATACCTGCCTACACACCTCCCTCGATACCTGCCTACCTACCTCCCTCGATACCTGCCTACCTACCTCCCCGATACCTGCCTACCTACCTCCCTCGACACCTGCCTACACACCTCCCTCGATACCTGCCTACCTACCTCCCTCGATACCTGCCTACCTACCTCCCTCGATACCTGCCTACCCACCTCCCTCGATACCTGCCTACCCACCTCCCTCGATACCTGCCTACCCACCTCCCTCGATACCTGCCTACCTACCTCCCTCGATACCTGCCTACCTACCGCCTAATAATGTTATTTTAGATCAAGCCCTCTATCAAGAATGGAACGGAAAACAGGAAGTCAGTGATGTTATTGCAGGTGGCAGAGGTTGCAGCAGATATTGACACAGTGCTCAGTTTTTGATACCTATGTGATTCCTCAAGGATTGTATGCCAGAATCTTGAAAATGACCGCACCTGTTAAACATCACACGAACATAGTTATCAGCACAACAAAATCATTCAATGTTTTGCAATTTTTGCTTCTCTAAATAAAGTACAGTTTTTCGTTCATTTTGGGTCTAGCTTGCCATATAATCATTCCTTTAGGTTCAAATTATCCAGATAGTAAGTTAAATTGAAGTTATGAAAATACTACGGAAAACACGGGGTGTTGCGGTACTTTATTTCTTGTATATATTTATTACAAGCAGTCCGTAATCAGTGAATTCTCAATCTACTTTTGTTCCAGCGCGACAACGTCACAGACAACGTCACAGACAACATCAGCAACAACATCAGCAACAACACCTGGGTTAACGACTGGGACTTGTGTCAACTCCTGCACTGGCAAAGACGATGGCGACTATCAGCACTGCACCGACTGTTACAAGTTCGTGGCCTGCTCTAGCGGCATCAAGTACGACATGCCCTGCGCCGCCACCCTGGTCTGGGATAATGTGGAGAAGCAGTGTCTGGGAACCTCCAACACCTGTACTCCAATTTCAGGATAAATCGTGGTCCTCACTCGCCAATGTTCGTAAACAAGTGATTGGTTTCAGAAAACAGAAAGAAACATCCATCTGTTGTCGCTATGAACGCTATAAACGGCTGCTTGAAAGAAGTGACCTCCAAAATAGTCTTTCAAATCCTTCCCGGTCACCGATCAGAATTTCTCTTCCCTCCAACCGAATTTCTCACACCCTCCCAAGATCAGAATTTAACGCACTAGCATCCCCGATCTGAGTTTCTGTCTCTTCGAATTACTTGTCTTCGTGTTCAATACAAGATTCGGCGTGGGTGTTTGGGTACTTTCGCCCTGATGAACCTCTTTCATCATCGATGAAGAAACTTGGGTTCCTTTAGGTTTGATCTGGAGGTAACTGAGGATACGATGTATAGTTGCGTTTCAATAAAAAAAATATGCATTCTAAAAATTGGTGACTTATATATCTTACGCGTCTTGGGTCCTGAAGATGGTTTTTCTCATTAAATTAGTATGGATTACTTAGAGCATTGCAACTATCACCAGGTATGAAACACCATCCCAGTGCTGTATTCGTTTGACGTGTGAGTAGTTGTATCAACAGCAGTATTTATGTCGTCATTTACCCATGAGGTAACAAGGAGTGGCAACATAGGGAGACGGGGAGCGTAGCTATTGGCAACGGTCGACGTTATATTTATGACGTCATAAAGCCTCTTGCGTATGTAATTAGTGACGATAGTAGGTACATGAAATAAATGCACGCACGCACATCGGAGCAGGCCAGATTCATTCATGAGCAGGTTCAGTTAATGCAATGAGTTACTGCCTCGTGATTACGACATGTGACGTTGGTTACTGCCAAGACTATATTAGTTTGTTTGCAGTGAAGGTACCAATGAAATTCACTTTAAACTAAAACGTAAATCAAATAAAGTGAAATTTAGATTGCGAATCCTCGTAACTTTACCTTGCCAATTGAACATTAAAACCTCAGAATTTAGGACAAAAGTTGTTTAAAAAACAATCATAGTTTCAAATCGCTATTATTGGTTTGTATAGTAGGGTTGTATCCATATGAAATGAAACCCCGAGAACAAGAAGGGGTTGGTTTCTACGGTAGTCTAAGTTAATCTTCATCACGCACCGCACGTGCATTTGTTCCACTGTTCCAACTACTGCGCATACCCCCTTGTAATACAAACCAATAATAGCGATTTGGAACTATTTCCAGAGCGGGTTCAATCAGAGCAGGGTGTTGTCGGTGGTAGAATGCACAAACTGGTGAGAAGGATTCAATCCAACCCCTCCCAGCAGGCAAATCTCTGGGGATCGTGGAGCCAAATTCGATTTTACCTGCAACTCAGTGGGCATAAACCAATGAAACATCAATGATAAACTACTGTCAAATGCAGCAACAATCGATTTTCCGTAATTGGTATCAACAACAATGTCGATAATGCTATATCAATGAGTTGCAAGTGTTTACGATAAGACAAACTAACAACTCATGTACTGACGACCCAAGGGATGGTGGGGAGAGTGTGTTTTACCACGCCTGTATTTACGCACACGGCATGCAGCCTTACATTGTGCGTGCACGTCCGTCATTAGCTGTACAAATACAGAACAGACAGGAGCAGTGAGAGAAAGTACCATTCACCTATTGGCATATAATTCGATTTCAGATATATTATTACTTCCATATTTAAACTATTATAGTATTGATCGTTCTCGAGTACCTTCATTACTTTTTATGGCAATGGTACATACATGGAACGACTCCGAGAGCGTCAGGTTTCTCACAGAGAGGATGGATTCTTACCGTTTCCTGAAAGTTTTTATTGCAATTCTGTGTGTGGTGCTGTGTTGTGGCGAACACCGAATGCAAGGTTAGAGCCTGTTTTCTTTTATATACGAACAGTGTAATTCAGAGAATATATTTGATATAATTTCTACTTTCAGTAGTTGACCAGCTGACCAGTTTTCGGTTGCTAATCGGGCCTGACGTCCATGTTGTGTCAGTATTTGTTTAATCAGTATGTGCTTAAATGCACTTTTGTTATGTTCATGTGTATTTGGACTCAAACAGAAGCAGGATTCTGTCTGGTTGCAATATGGCTGAAATACTGCCGACTTGTTCTATGTAACATGCTAGATAATGGCGTACCTCCCAGCCAGAAGGACGCTGTAACTATAATCACACAGACGAGCTTGATGTCCACCACACTCAGCAATATTCCAGCTATATGGCGGCGGTCTGTAAGAAATTGAGTAATGACCAGACAATCCAGTGATCAACAGCATGAAAATCGATCTACGCATTTGGGATACGACGGAGCCGAGGCCTCATTATTTTAAGGAAAGGCGTAACGAGGATATTACCCTACTTAAATTACATTCAAAATGTTGGTAATTTTATAAACCAAATGTTATGCAAAGAGTATGATGTCGAAATTGTTCACTCTATAAACTGATACACCTCGCTCAATTCCAGAAAAATAATGGAGTTAAAATGTAATATATTTCACACTACGTGATACATATAACAATACTTAACACCTCATTATATCTCATGTCACACATATTATCACATATCACACATAGTATCACATGTCACAAATATTATCACATGTCACACATATTATCACATGTCACACATATTATCACATGTCACACATATTATCACATATCACACATAGTATCACATGTCACACATATTATCTCATGTCACACATATTATCTCAGGACCGCCTCTGTGGTGTAGTGGTTAGAGCGTCCGCCCGGAGAGCGGAAGGTCGCGGGTTTGATCCCCGACCGCGTCAAACCAAAAGACATTAAAATATGGTACTTGTTGGTCCCTGCTTGGCGCTCGGCATTAATGGGTTAGAACAGGGACTGGTCGGCTCGGAGTCAGTATAATGTGTCTGAGCGGGGTATTCATGCTTCACTGTGGCATGGTATCTCAGTGGGCTAGCACTATAAAACCACCTTAAGTCTGGGCTAGTACAAGCAGCCGCACATACACAAACACACGCATTCACGTCGTCATATGAGCGAAATATTCTCAAGCACGACGTTAAACCCAATTTCACCTCACCTCACCACATTATCTCATGTCACACATATTATCACATGTCACACATATTATCACATGTCACACATATTATCACATATGCCACATATCATCACATGTCACACAAGCAAACAACGTGCTCTAAGATTAAGTAGTTGTTGCGTCTATAAGCCTTATTACCCTGCACATATAACAGGCCGCTGACCGTAACAGAGAATTCGGTTCAAAATGAAATATCTATGATCTACAGGTGACCTACCTCTGTCATGAAAACAATGGGGGCGGTGCGGTAACCTAATTGTAAAAGCGTTTGCTCGTCACGCCGAAAATGGCGTAAAGCCATATACACTCACTCACTAACTCATGAAAACCATGTTTCCCTTTACACTTCAGTGAGTGAGTTTTGGTTTGACGCCGCTTTTGGCAATATTCCAGCAATATCACGGCGGCGGACATCAGAAGTGAGCTTTCCACATTGTACCTGTTTGGGGAATCGAACCCGGCATCGGCGTGATGGGAGAACGCTTTAAACACTAGGCTACCCCACCACCCCTTTAAACTTCAGGTTTCACCACGGAGACGTGTGAGGACTGTCATTGTGTTCTTCAGTTGATCCAGAGACTGGGATGGAGAGAGGTGTCTCTCTTGCTGTATGTCGTTATGTTCCTCAGCTGATCCAGAGACTAGGATGGAGAGACGTTTCTGTCCTGCTGTGTGTCATTATGTTCCTCAGTTGATCCAGAGACTGGGATGGAGAGAGGTGTCTGTCCTGCTGTGTGTCATTATGTTCCTCAGTTGATCCAGAGACTGGGATGGAGAGAGGTGTCTGTTCTGCTGTATGCCATTATGTTCCTCAGTTGATCCAGAGACTGGGGTGGAGAGACGTGTCTGTCCTGCTGTATGTCATTATGTTCCTCAGTTGATCCAGAGACTGGGATGGAGAGAGGTGTCTGTCCTGCTGTGTTCATTATGTTCCTCAGTTGATCGAGAGACTGGGATGGAGAGAGGTGTCTGTCCTGTTGTATGTCATTATGTTCCTCAGTTGATCCAGAAACTGGGATGGAGAGACGTGTCTAACCTGCTGTATGTCGTTATGTTCCTCAGTTGATCCAGAGACTGGTGTGGACAACGGTGTCTGTCCTGCTGTATGTCATTATGTTCCTCAGTTGATCCATAGACTGGGATGGAGAGACGTGTCTAACCTGCTGTATGTCGTTATGTTCCTCAGTTGATCCAGAGACTGGGATGGAGAGAGGTGTCTGTCCTGCTGTATGTCATTATGTTCCTCAGTTGATCCAGAGACTAGGGTGGAGAGAGGTGTCTGTCCTGCTGTATGTCATTATGTTCCTCAGTTGATCCAGGGGCGGTGGTGTAGCCTAGTGGTTAAAGCGTTGGCTCGTCACGCCGAAGGCCCGGGTTCGATTCCCCACATGGGCACAATGTCTTAAGCCCATTTCTGGTGTCCCCCGCCGTGATATTGCTGGAATATTGCTAAAAGCGGCGTAAAACTAAACTCAGTCAGTCAGTCAGTCAGTTGATCCAGAGACTGGGGTGGAGAGAGGTGTCTGTCCTGCTGTATGTCGTTATGTTCCTCAGTTGATCCAGAGACTGGGATGGAGAGAGGTGTCTGTCCTGCTGTATGTCATTATGTTCCTCAGTTGATCCAGAGACTGGGGTGGAGAGACGTGTCTGTCTTGCTGTATGTCGTTATGTTCCTCAGTTGATCCAGAGACTGGGATGGAGAGACATGTCTGTCCTGATGTATATCGTTATGTTCCTCAGTTGATCCAGAGACTGGGATGGAGAGAGGTGCCTCTCCTGCTGTATGTCGTTATGTTCCTCAGTTGATCCAGAGACTGGGATGGAGAGAGGTGTCTGTCCTGCTGTGTGTCGTTATGTTCCTCACTTGATCCAGAGACTGGGGTGGAGAGAGGTGTCTGTCCTGCTGTATGTCGTTATGTTCCTCAGTTGATCCAGAGACTGGGATGGAGAGAGGTGTCTGTCCTGCTGTATGTCATTATGTTCCTCAGTTGATCCAGAGACTGGGGTGGAGAGACGTGCATGTCCTGCTGTATGTCATTATGTTCCTCAGTTGATCCAGAGACTTGGGTGGAGAGACGTGTCTGTCCTGCTGTATGTCATTATGTTCCTCAGTTGATCCAGAGACTGGGGTGGAGAGACGTGTCTGTCCTGCTGTATGTCATTATGTTCCTCAGTTGATCCAGAGACTGGGATGGAGAGAGGTGTCTGTCCTGCTGTATGTCATTATGTTCCTCAGTTGATCCAGAGACTGGGATGGAGAGAGGTGTCTGTCCTGCTGTATGTCATTATGTTCCTCAGTTGATCCAGAAACTGGGATGGAGAGACGTGTCTAACCTGCTGTGTGTCGTTATGTTCCTCACTTGATCCAGAGACTGGGGTGGAGAGAGGTGTCTGTCCTGCTGTATGTCGTTATGTTCCTCAGTTGATCCAGAGACTGGGATGGAGAGAGGTGTCTGTCCTGCTGTATGTCATTATGTTCCTCAGTTGATCCAGAGACTGGGATGGAGAGAGGTGTCTGTCCTGCTGTATGTCGTTATGTTCCTCAGTTGATCCAGAGACTGGGATGGAGAGACGTGTCTGTCCTTCTGTGTGTCACTATGTTCCTCAGTTGATCCAGAGACTGGGGTGGAGAGAGGTGTCTGTCCTGCTGTATGTCGTTATGTTCCTCAGTCGATCCAGAGACTGGGGTGGAGAGACGTGCATGTCCTGCTGTATGTCGTTATGTTCCTCAGTTGATCCAGAGACTTGGGTGGAGAGACGTGTCTGTCCTGCTGTATGTCATTATGTTCCTCAGTTGATCCAGAGACTGGGGTGGAGAGACGTGTCTGTCCTGCTGTATGTCATTATGTTCCTCAGTTGATCCAGAGACTGGGATGGAGAGACGTGTCTGTCCTGCTGTATGTCATTATGTTCCTCAGTTGATCCAGAGACTGGGATGGAGAGACGTGTCTGTCCTGCTGTGTGTCATTATGTTCCTCAGTTGATCCAGGGACTGGTGTGGAGACAGGTGTCTGTCCTGCTGTATGTCGTTATATTCCTCAGTTGATCCAGAGACTGGGATGGAGACAGGTGTCTGTCCTGCTGTATGTCGCTATATTCCTCAGTTGATCCAGAGGCTGGGGTGGAGAGAGGTGTCTGTCCTGCTGTATGTCGTTATATTCCTCAGTTGATCCAGAGACTGGGGTGGAGAGAGGTGTCTGTCCTGCTGTATGTCGCTATATTCCTCAGTTGATCCAGAGACTGGGGTGGAGAGAGGTGTCTGTCCTGCTGTATGTCGTTATATTCCTCAGTTGATCCAGAGACTGGGATGGAGAGACGTGTCTGTCCTGCTGTATGTCGCTATATTCCTCAGTTGATCCAGAGACTGGGATGGAGAGAGGTGTCTGTCCTGCTGTATGTCGTTATATTCCTCAGTTGATCCAGAGACTGGGGTGGAGAGAGGTGTCTGTCCTGCTGTATGTCGCTATATTCCTCAGTTGATCCAGAGACTGGGGTGGAGAGAGGTGTCTGTCCTGCTGTATGTCGCTATATTCCTCAGTTGATCCAGAGGCTGGGGTGGAGAGAGGTGTCTGTCCTGCTGTATGTCGTTATATTCCTCAGTTGATCCAGAGACTGGGGTGGAGAGAGGTGTCTGTCCTGCTGTATGTCGCTATATTCCTCAGTTGATCCAGAGACTGGGGTGGAGAGAGGTGTCTGTCCTGCTGTATGTCATTATGTTCCTCAGTTGATCCAGAGACTGGGATGGAGAGACGTGTCTGTCCTGCTGTAGTATGTCGTTATATTCCTCAGTTGATCGAGAGACTGGGGTGGAGAGAGGTGTCTGTCCTGCTGTATGTCATTATGTTCCTCAGTTGATCCAGAGACTGGGGTGGACAACGGTGTCTGTCCTGCTGTATGATCATGAAGGTACAGCTCCTCGTTGTCATAGTTACCAATAGAGTGAATCAAATCCCAACACAAAGTCAACCTAGACACAGCCTTAATTTGTAAAGTGATTGTACAACTTGTCCATACTTTCTCGATTAACTACGAACACTAATTGTACTACGGTTGTAACAATTCGTGGAGAACTCGTGTCACCATCTGTTCATATGCCCCAAGCTGTTTATCATGAACCAAATGAGTGCTTGGTTTCAGAGAGTGGCAATCTTGTATCAGACATGTCACAGTCCTCCCTTCGCTGTCTTGTGTATGACCTCAACACCACAGACACAGCCCGCACCTTACTGGAACTCCACCAGACGATGTTTCCGGAAGTAAATGTGGTGGTTGTCATGAAACAAGTACACGTGCAGCAGCTGATGAAGACGGTACGTGTCAGCTTGTAATGCCCCACATCTCCAGTGTTAAAGGTTAGCTGTCTATATTATTCTTCAATTTGTTCATGTCCTTTTTTTAGAAAATGTTTCAAAACGCAATTCGGAATGAAAATCTTATTACATTAGTTATCCCTTTGTAATGATTTGTATTGATTCATGAACTTGGAACACATATTATTACAACCCATTTCTTTGTTGTTTGTTTTACATCTAGTTCTTTTAAGGTGGACGGTGGGGTAGCCTAATGGTAACTCGAGATGTGTTGCAAGGCATTAGCTGGCTCCCCTTATATACACAAAAAAGGTTGCTGGAACCTTTTATAGATTTATGTAGGTCAGAGCACAATGGAAGCTTCCAGAGCGCTGTTTAAATATAGCGAGAGTCTAAATATGACAAGCCCCTGTGCACACCTTACTGAATCTATGATGTATAACAATGTGCAACAGTTGAAACACTGTAGCACAAGGTATTACACTGCTTTCATAACATACTGATGTTTGCATTGGCTACATGTTCGATGCTACCCTGAAACTGTAATAAAATACCTTTTGGGGGTTTTAGGTGAACTCTTTTGATGAGATGACGAAAGGACAAACCGATTTTCAGCATCATTCCAAATGGCTGCTTGTTATAGAGGACCTGAAGTTGACTGATCTTCGGGGTTACATTGCTTTAGAAAACGTAGCACTGATACTGCCGCTATCAAAGGTAGGAATACATCACCTGACTGGGGTCCAGTGGACATCGGTAACAACCGGACTGTGTGGGCCATTGTTGAGCTCTATGTTAAACACGGTACCAAGAACCATACATGCTTGGAACCTCCTCCCGTGTACTCTGAAGAGATGTGGTCAGTGTTAATAATGTGTAATATTGCAGATGTGATGTTATATATCAGTGAATGGTGGTAGCTCACAGTTACACACCATGTCTGATCAGTGTTACAACTTTACAAGCGTCTGGGAAGACAAACTAAAACACAAGCTGAAACTATTATGGTGGACGTGTGGTGGATATTTCCGAATTTGATATCGAATGCAATTCCATATCAAAATTGCATTTGTCCTGTGTCTGTTCAAATGCGACAATGCATTTTTGCCATTTGCACCATAATGTTCCAGTGTCTGTTCAGGATGAACAATTACTTGGTGTTGCATGTGTTTATGATGAGTGTCAGCGATGGTGCTAGATGCGCTTATCTTTCGGCGAGCACCTGGTATCATTACTGTTTGATAGTGGTTCATACACATGTGCTTGTGATATAGTTTGCTCCGTACAACTGTGTCAGCTGTAAGGTTTCTGCTGTCGTATTGTCTACGTTGTTTATTTTCAGCGTATCCTGCACACTGTGTTGACAGTTAGGCACCACCCAGGGCAGAACGTGTTTGTTCCAGTAGAACCCTGTGTAGCGAGGGACTATATTTCCTGCCTGTATCCTAACACTGCCTACGGTTACAACAACAGGCATCTCCGGGTGACGACTTTAGAGGTAACAACGATCTCTCATTTAACATCACCACTTCCTTTGTATGGTTCGATCCCCGGTGGCGTCATACCAACAGACTTTTAGACGTGGTACTTGATGTTACCCTGCCTCAAACTGATATCAGTCACTTGTATGTAATTGTATAAACAATATTTTGAATAGCATTTCATATAACGACGCCTCGCCTCGCCTCTGTTTGGAAGGAGTGCCACGGGTCGTGGAAGTTTACACGTATCCAACCAGCAGCCCAGGATTTCAGAAAGAGGCAACTAACGGGATCGGATGCACAGACACGTGGACTCGGTGCTTGCCAATCTATCCCATTGAACGAATCTACAAAAAAAAGCTGAGCACCTAGTCCGTAGTTACGCCCATGACCGAACAACATATATCAAGTAATACATACCGTACATGTGACATTCTCAGTGCAACTGCACAGTATGTTGAAGGATGAAACACCGTAGTTTAATACCTTTACCTCTGATTATGTACGTGCGCCCCCATTCATGACGTTGAGTATACTTACAAGATTCTGAAAAACCCGTTTGACACATTTTATTGTATTATGCATATGCTTCTGAAGTTTCTATCTGTATTATGTGAATTTACGATGTTACGATGTTTCAGTCAAACAGGTTTATATCCAAGTATGTGTTGAACGCAACCACTCGCCATGAGGGATATGCAATAGAGATCTTGGACATCATAACACAGGCTCTGAACTTAAGGTATGTGAGACCGTACTGGAACATAACAGAAATATAACAACCCTCGTGTCTATCTATACCTTGAGCTATCTACGTCATGTGTCCAAACATGGAAATAGCCAAGTTTTTAAAGATATCAATGTGGTGTTTTGATCAACAAGTCCTTCATTCAAGTGTACGTGTATGGACCCACTGTCATGATGGCATGGTAGTTGACCGTAACCATGACCACGGTTAGGTGATGTTCTTTTGCAATGAAACTGTATGTGTTTTTTTGTATTTTTAATGTTGTATTGTCAAAATAAGAACAGTTATCTGCCAAGCAAAGCGTACATAAACTGAAATAGCCTGACTATATGCCTGGATATTTGAGAATTTAGTGAGATTGGGGGTTATGTGTGTGTGTTTCATATACTATCCACCATCGGTTTTCTTGTTCATATTCGAATCAACATATGACCCCTGAAGATCCGGGGCAGAATAGGTCTTCAGCAACCCATGCTTGCCACAAAAGGCGACTATGCTTGTCGTAAGAGGCGACTAACGGGATCGGATGGTTAGACTCGCTGACATGTTTGACACATGTCATCGGTTCCCAATTACGCAGATCGATGTTCATGCTGTTGATCACTGGATTGTCTGGTCGAGACTCGATTATTTACAGACCGCAGCCATATAGGTGGAATATGGAATATGTGCGGCGTACAACTAAACTCACTCACTCACTCAGCACTCAGCTGAGAAAGATGTGCTGTAGAAACAAGAATTTCATTATGCATCGCATGTGTAGACCCACCTGATACGTACCAGGGGTGGGGGGGGGAGGTATTGCAGAGAATTTTCATATTTCGTTATATTGCGATGCGAAAGCATATATAGCGATATGTATTGCAATATATTGCAAGAAGTATTTTTAAACAAAAAACTACAGTACTTATAATCGAGTCAGTGCTTGATTTATAAAGCATGAAGCGTTGGCTCGTCACGCCGAAGACCCGGGTTCGAATCCCCACATGGGTACATTGTGTGAAGCTCATTTCTGGAATATTGCTAAAAGCGGCGTAAAACCAAACTCAGTCAGTCAGTATAAAGCATGAGCACAACAAAATCACTATGCATGATTAAGCTTTAATAAAAACGTTTAATCCTGACAAAATAAAAATGTAAATAATATTTGGCACAAAATAAGCAAGGAAATATCCGACTTCCGAGTTTTACGAAGTTTTCCGAATGCAAGTCAAAAATACCGGTTTTCGATCAGTGTATGGCAATACGTATCGTTTTCATGTCTGAAAAGATAAACCGGTTATATTGCCCATCCCCAATACGTATGAACATTTGTGGTGTAGTTACAGCATCACGGAGCCCGAGGATGGAGCCTGGGGCCTCCCTGTCAACGGCACGTATAGCGGGATAGTGGGACAGCTGTACAGGCGGGTAGGTGACCAGCTCATTAAAGGAGGACACGCTCTTACTCTGTCTATATCCATTACCCATCAACTGCGTAGTCGCACACACGACAGAAAGTGCAGTTTTACAGTTGTGGAATGTTGTGTTTTTTTATCAAAACAGCGTACATGGGGACAGTCTAAGTAAACTTAGACTCTAATGGTACATAAGTAAACTTAGACTCAGTATTATTCGTTACACTGCTATACTGGGTCTTTTTTCAATTTTGGGTTACATAAACAAATCATTAGATTCACTTTGTTTGGTCCTCCATGATTTCTCAGTCAAGTTGGTTTCTGATTTTCATGTTGGTTTCTGTGTGCAACTTAAAGCCAGCGCGATATGCAGCTTGAGTGGGTCTCTACATAGTGAAGGCTATCTCTACACACCACAGTACACAATCAAAGTGTCTGTACAGTCTCAGGCCCACCTAATTACGACGATGGGAAGACCATCATCCCTCTGATTTCTGCTTTGAAAGTAATATGATATTTCATTTGGCTGTTCTTCAATATTAAAGTCAACAACGTTTTAATTTATTGAAATGTTCTATTGCCAACAGGCAAGTTCCAACACGAGTATTCAGGGAAGGTTGTGGGCCAAGATAACGAACAACGATCCCAGTTTTCTCAAGTCTGATGTCAGTAATCACATGCAGAGAATGAAGCAACAGAAGTATGCCCTGGTGATGTTCAAGTCGACCGTCGACCTCCACCTGGCCGAGGACTGCCAGTTTGAACCACTGGGTGCACAGGAATTATGGATACACCTGGCTTTTGGGATTCCAAAGAACTCACCCTTGAAAGATGATATAGAAAGAATGTAAGTACAACTCACTCTCAAGGGAGAAATCCTTCATGATAACTCACTCTCAAGGGAGAAATAATCGTTTAATACCTTCCTCCAGATGACTACTTTAAAATATCACTTATGGGGAATTTTTAATATCTTACCTTTGAGGAATTTCCGTTATTTTCTCATTAATAAGGAATCCTATATTCCTCATTTATACCCTCACTTAGAAGAAATTCACTCACATGTTACACAGAAAATGCATCCCGTATTCAATCATATTCTCTATATGAAGGAAAATAGTTTCTCAAAAGAAAATCCTCAATTACTATGGCGAATTCTCTTTACTATCACACCTATTAGGAAACCTACGTTTGAATCCTTTAAGTCCACCGTCAAGAGGAATCCTTTATACACAATCACTTCCTAAGTAGCTACAGGTATTCGTGTGATGTGTAAGCATCTGTTTATGTACGTGTTATATATGATACTTTAGTCATTATCTGCAATATTGTAAATATTGATGTGTAAAATATTATTCAACAATGGGTGCATTATACCCGCTATTCTCTGAGTTCGTCCACTTGTTTGTGGAACAGAATGTCCTATCTGAGCCAGAGTGGTATTCTGGAGAAGTTGTGGAGGAAGTGGCATGTGACGAGGAGCGAGCATCAGTGTGTCAGCAGGAGAAGTATGGCGGGCATGACGCTTGAACAGATCAGTGGCGGCTTCATCCTTGGTGGCGTGGGGCTGGTGATCAGCATCATCTCTCTGTGTCTTGAGAACCTGGTGCAGTGAGAGTATTCCACCGAGTTCTTTACTGTGTGGCTGTGTGTTGGGAGATGCACCGCAAGAGACATGTGATGAGCGTTACATCTATAGTATGAACATTCGTGTGTGAATCAGTTGTGGGCGAATCCTGTCATAGACAAGGTACGCAACTACACGAGGGCTTATATCATGCCTCCAAAAAGGTTACAACATTTAATAGCCAACAGAAGCAATGCAACATATATAACAAAACATTGAACAAAAACGTAACGTTACACTCACGTTTGTAGTGAATTGCTAAAACGCACCCTACATGAAATGCACGTGCATGATGAAACTATGTTTCACCTTGAACTGAAGCCAGTGACGGTAGGCTTTATAATGCCACATCAACTGTCCCCCAGATACATTGCTTTAAGCCACTATAGACGACAAAAGAATGCCAAGACGGACAGAAGATCAACGACACAGCGCCATCTGCCGTTTACAATGAGGGGCATGGCACCATGAGGTGTCATGACAGTTAGGTGTGTCCAGACAGACCATCTCAAACCTATGGATCCGATACAAGAATACTCCGAGTGTTAATGACAGACCCAGGTCAGGTCAAACTAGAGTTGCCACCGCCGCCCAGGATTGCTACATCAGGTTGAGACATCTTCGTTCACGCACCACGACCGAAACATCCACAACAACCCAAATCCCAAATCTCCGACCAGGCGCAATCGACTACGGGTAGGCGGACTTTTTGCCAGAAGACAAGTTCGACGTAACGTCTTGACACAACGTCAACAGGCTGGACGTCTACAATGGTGCAGACAACGAGTGAGATGGCAGCGGGCAAGATGGAATGCAAATTGTTCTCAGATGAGTCTAGGTTTCTTCTCAGACGTGCTGATGGACGTTCACGTGTATACAGACGTCGAAATAAACGTTACGCCAATAACGCTGTACAGCAGTTCGATAGCTATGGTGGTGAATGTGTCATGGTGTGGGCAGGCATCCATCATATTGGCCGGTCAGTTTTTGAGAACGTGGCAGGTGCATTGAAGTGGTTCGCTATAGAGATGAGATTTTGCCACGTCAAATCGTTCCCTTCATCAACGGCAACGGTGGATCTTTGCAGCATGACAATGCTCGATCTCACGTTGCACGTGTTTGCCAGGACTTCATCCAGCAAAACAACGTTCAGGTGTTACCATGGCCTTCTCGATCGGCCGATTTGTCTCCAATTGAACATCTATGGGACACTCTTGATCCACGCTTGCGCCAGCGTAATCCGCCATCTCAGACACTACAAAAACTGCACGCACCACTTCAAGTGTATCAAAACATTCATCAAGACAGCATTCGGCATCTCCTTTCTTCTGTGGGTCATCGCTGCCAAGCTGTTATCGATGCTCACGGTGGACACACCAGATACTGACATTGTGGTCAGACCAAGTGGCTTTACCCAACACTTTCCGGGGATATCATGTTTTGGAAATGTGTAAAGTGATGATTTTACTGTAATTGAGCAATGATGTCATGCTTGAATCAGTTAGATGCACTCACTAGATAATCTCCAGCATGTCAGGTTCCTTCTTTTGAAGAGATGGGATATTACTGAGTGCGGCGTAAAACTAAACTCACTCACTCACTCACTTTTGAAAGATATATAAATTATATGTCATATGTATGCCATTTCCATCAGATAGGGGTAGTTCTCACGCATGTTTTTATCCTTAGAATTATTATACAATAAATGAAATTCAATTGATGTTACGACACTCTCTGTATATTTTAGTCGTACTTTGAATATTGAACCATGGCTATTTCCAATTGAAATTTGTACTCCCTTTGTTGTTGTTATTTGCGTGTAATCCAATATCTTGCGGCATCCAGACATAGGAAATCTCAGTCGATGGAAGCAGCATACAAACGTCTGAGTCCCAGTGTACTTTACCATTATCATACGCTTAAGTTGTCACAACATGCTCGTTGGTATTGATAAGACTGCCATCTTCCTTCACGAAATTTACTATTACATCCACTAAGATACAGATCGGGTGCAACTTCTTTCACAACAAATAACACGAGAACGAAGTTATTTACAAAAAGGACGAGGAGAAATTTCTCAGAAATAAACGTTCTGAAGTCACAGTTTCTAAATGTACAGGTGTTGCCACATGTACACTTCAATTTGTACACACATCCTCATGGGTTAGGGGTAGTTTTACAAGCTTCCTTGATAAAGATTTTAGGGTTTTGCCAGATGTGAATGTAGTGTCAACGCTTGCTGTTTTCTTTAGAAGTCTACTGATATGATGACTAATGGATCCAGCATAGTGAATGTGTATTGGGGTGGTTCAGGCTTAGTTGGAGGTTGATCTCGTTGTTCTGAGGTGGTCTTGGTGGTGGTTTCTACTGCTCTGCCTACAATCACCCGGATTGTTCACCAGTCTGTCAATTCTTATACCACGCCAACCAATGTTATGATGGACTATGTACACTTGTAATTATACCAAGATTTCATGAAACACCAAGTGTATAGGTTAGCTGTAACATATCACTAAATCCTGATAATACGTATCCCACATGGGTATAATGTGTGAAGCCTATTTCTGGTGTCCCACGTCCTGATAATATTGGAATGTTGCTAAAACTGATCCAAATCTTATTCACTAACTCTAATAATTCGATTTTTGGGTCAATGACGATGAGATTAATGCTCCAAGGGAAGCAACTCCCGCAAACATAACAGGACACATATGTACTAATTCTGTCTTGTGAACTCGATACCGATTTGTTGCATAAGAAGATTATGAAATGACGCGAGGGCTAAGTTAAATCTATGTGAGCTATCACTATGCCTCTAACTTGTTATTAAATTTGTAATCATTTTGTGAACAATATGTTTGTAAATTAAAGCGTGTAGCTATTTGTGGGAAAATAATGGTTTAAGCAAACAATACAAAACAAGCAACCGAGCATACGTATAGGAATGACAAGTGTCTATGGATGATAGCATACGTATAGGAATGACAAGTGTCTATGGATCATCAACTTCTTTATTTTACAATAATGACGTTTCGGTATAGATGCTTGAAAACGGTATAAGCATCTATACCGAAACGTCGCAAATGTATAATAAAGAAGTTGATCACCCATAGACACTTGTCATTCCTATTGCTCACAACTTCTAGAATGCCCCTCAAACAGAGCATACGTATACTCCAATTTAACATTCCTTACAATTTCTAACGTCTCCAAATAAAGTACACAACCTATAAGTATATGTTCAGACAATTTATAATTTACAATGCATTTTACAAAGCTGGAAATGATTTTAAATACGAACACTGATAACTGCAAACACACGACTAATTGTCTTCGTGTGTCTCCACATAAATTCGTCATTTCATTTCATACTATGCAAATACCGCATATCGATAGCATTAATATAAAAGAAATTTTAGCATTAAAATAACGACATAAAAATAAAATGTAATGCCCGTCACGAGTATGGGAAAGTATCAGTCAAAACTGAGACAGGTTTCGAAAATGACTACCCTGACAATCAGGTTCACAGTTCCCTTAAAAATAACTGTGAATGCAGATTTTGTTTCCAATGCTAACTGCAAATTGTTTTTATAATTTTCTTTTCCAAAAGTATTTTCTGTCATTTAAATTATATTTCAATTATATTCTAACAAGTTACCAAAAACCAAGAGGTAATTTCATTTGCCTGTTCATGTAATTATTTTTTATAAGAGCCTAGCAGAAAGTCTAGAGAGGTGCTTGGGCATTGTTCGGTCATGTGACCCAAACGCATGTGCAGTTCATACAGTCCAGCCACATGGCATAACAGTGGAAGGCCTCATGATGTACAGACATGTGTGAATGATGACAAGATTGTTGGAACACAAATGTAAGTTTATTTATTGGAGATTTTACATTTCTCGGGTCAATGGGGGGCCAGCGTAATTGATTATATTATTGCATCATCATGTCTGTTCTCGTCTTGTACTGACTTCAATATACAATCTCGCACAGAGTCCACACACCTCGCAATCACGATGAAATTGGTTACAACACACAAGCGGGAATGTGATGTAATAAGAGATGATTGAATCATAGTTATAAGTTTGTTTGGAATGAAGACAAATCGGATGAGTTTAGACAAAATATGTTCTCAGATAGTGTGCAAGACTCGATAAATGTTTAGATACAGCCTTTAGTGATATCAATCAGAGTATAGAATATATTGCAGAGGCTTTGTGCTCTGCTGCAATGGGTATGAAACGAAAATTGACACAGATATTTTAGTAAGAACAGCCCATGGTTTGATAGTGAATGTAGGCGTTTGAAAGCTGAGCGTTGCCGGAAATTAAATCAGTTCAGAATTTATAAGACAAACAGCACTTAGATGAGTACCATTTAGTTAGAAACCTATATAACGCTAAGTGTAAGCAGAAAAGAACAGAGTACTAGAAACAAAAACAGATAAAACTAGAAAACCATATCAATTCCAAAGAGTTTTGGTCAATCCTTCAAGGCTTGAATGGTAAACAGTCTACTACACATGATATAAGTACCCGTGAGTGGTTTGAACATTTCAAACAATTGTTTACATCAACTAGCAATGATGTAACAGAGGATGTAAGTGCTGTCAACGACAGTACTAATGTACGTACAAGCACACCAACTGACTTTGACCTATTGACTAATGATATTCTAGATCCACCTATTACCAGACAAGAAATTATAGATAGTATAAGACACTTAAAGATAAATAAAGCAGCGGGTGTTGATGATATTTTACCTGAATTTATTAAATATTCTGAAGATATCTTATTTCCTTACTTTGAGTTGATTTTTATTGTTATTTTAGAGAGCGGTAATTTTCCAACGTCTTGGACTATCGGAATTAATATTCCAATTCATAAAAGCGGGAACATTAATAATGTTGATAATTATAGAGGTATATATCTGTTAAGTATATTGGGAAAGGTTTTTGTCTATATCATCAACAATAGATTGAATTTTTGGGCATATACTTTTGATTAAATAGATGAATCTCAAGCCGGCTTTAGGGCAGGATACAGCACTGTTGATAACATCTTTATACTAAATTCAATTGTTCAAAAGTGTCTAAATACAAAGGGAAAGAAAATGTATGCTTTGTTTGTCGATTTTAAGAAAGCGTTTGATTCAATACAGAGAGAAACACTTGGAGGGGGGGGGGGGGGTGTTATTGCAAAACCATGGTATTAGCTCT